CCCTAAGAAGTATTTCAATTTGCCAAGGTCTATTGTTTGAAAATGATCATGCAGAAATGTTCTCAACCTGTCAATCCCAGGCCTGTCACTACCAGTAATAACAATATCATCAACATAAACCACTAACAAAATCTTCCCCGCATCAAAGTCATAGCTGAATACTGAATGGTCAACCTGACACTGTTTCATGCCAAACTTCTTTACGACTTCACGGAATCTGCCAAACCAAGCACGAGGGGACTATTTAAGTCCATAAATAGTTTTCTTGAGCCTACACACCTTACCATCCTCCCCCTGAGCAATAAACCCGGGTGGTTGCTCCATATACACCTCTTCAAGAAGATCACCATGCAAAAAAGTGTTCTTAATATTAAGCTGAAACAAGGGCCAATCATGTATAGCAGCTAGGGAGATCAAAACACGAACAGAACCAATCTTGGCAACAAGAGAGAAGGTCTCTGTGTAGTCAATACCATATAACTGTGAATAACCCTTGGCAACCAACCGAGCTTTCAATCTCTCAACACTACCATCAGGCAAATCTTGGCAACAAGAGAGAAGGTCTCTGTGTAGTCAATACCATATAACTGTGAATAACCCTTGGCAACCAACCGAGCTTTCAATCTCTCAACACTACCATCAGGCAAATGCTTGACCATATATACACACTTACATTCTATAGTATGCTTACCCGGGGAAAGAGTGGTGAGGTCCCATGTATGATTATGAGCTAGAGCAGAGAGTTCTTCCATTGCTTGATGCCAACCTGAAGAGATAAGGGCTTCATGGACATCCTTAGGAACAGAAACAGAAGGTAACAACAAAACAAATTGTCGATGGGAAGGAGATAGGTGAGAAACAAAAACATAATTGGAGATAGGATGAAGGGTACAACTACATTTACCTTTCTGCAGGGCAATGGAAAGATCAAGGTCAGAAACAGGGGGTGATGGTGCTGCGAAAGTCACTTTTGGATCCGTCGACGGTGAAGAAGTTGGAGGGGCCGATGCATGTCGATGCGTATACACTTGATGGATAGGTGGCCATGTAGAAGGAAGTGGCACCGGAGGTGAAGACTTAGGCGCAACTAGAACAAGAGGAATGGGGTCCGCAACAGGAACTGGAAGCGAAAGGAAAGAAGGGGAAGAGACATCTAAGCTAAAAAAGAACGGAACCGACTCAAAGAAGCTAACATCGGGACACACAAAACAACGTTGGGAACTGGGATTATAACACTTGTACCCTTTTGGGTCCTAAAATAGCCAAGAAAGACACACTTCGTAGATCCTGCATCTAATTTATTTAGTCCGGGACCAAAGATTATGAACAAAGCACACACACCCAAAAACCCGAGTAAGAGGAAAAGGAGACAACGTAGGAAGCAGAACAATGAAGGGAGACTGACCATCAAGGATGGACATAGGCATTCTGTTAATAAGAAAGCAAGATGTAAGCACAGCATTACTCCAGAAACGTTTGGGTACATTCATATGGTGCAACAGGGATCAAGTGGTTTCTAAGGGATGGCGATTTTTCCGTTCATCTACCCCATTTTGTTGGGGGGTGCAAGAGCAAGAGGTTTGATGAATAATACCATGTTGTTCTAAATATTGCTGAAAGGGTGTATAAAATATTCTCGGCCATTATCTAAACATAGGATCTTAATGTGAATACCAAATTGAGTGCGGATTTCAGCATGAAACTTTTGGAAAATAGAAAATAATTCACTTCTTTCTTTCATAAGATAAAGCCATGTCATCCTTGAATAGTCATCAACAAAAATAGCAAAGTACTTGTATCCATTGTGTGATACTACTTTATTTGGACCCCAAATGTCCGAATGGACCAAAGAAAAAGGACTTGACATACGATAATCGACTCTAGGACTGAAGGAAACCCGATGATGTTTCCCATACTGACACGACTCACAATCCAAAGTAAAAAGACGACTCAATGCTGGAACAAGTAGCTTAAGTGCTTTAAGAGACGGGTGTCCAAGTCTGCAATGCCACTGGAGAGGGGTGAGAGACGACTGAAGAGCTGTTGAAGAACCACCACCACCACCATCAAGGTAATACAGCCCACCAGCTTCATGCCCTCCACCAATCTTCATCCCCGTCTTGAGATCCTGAAATACACAAGATGAAGGGTAAAAGGTGATAGAGCAATTAAGAGACTTTGTCAATTTACTAACAAACATAAGATTAAAAGGAAATTTGGGTACATACAGAACTAAAGACAAAGATAATGAACCAGTTTTAACATCACCAATACCACTTATGGAAGAAGTGGAACCATTAGCAAGAGTGATAGTGTTGGTTGTAGAGGATGAAGAAAGTGAAGAGAACACACCTGGAGTCCCAGTCATGTGATCGGAAGCTCCAGAATCAATGATCCAGTGGGAGGATTTGGATGCCAGACAAGCCATACCTAAGGGGGCAAGCGTAGTTATACTCAGCTGAGAAGTAGCCTAGATCTACAGCTCATATTTAGTACGAGAACTACTCAGCATCTCCTGTCCGGAGGCATCTATAGCTGAAGGTGTCGGACCAGTCTGTTGACTCCCTTGCTCCATATCACCACTTGCCACTGCATGATTTGCCCAGGATGACGGTGGGCCATGTAGATCATAGCAAAAATTAATAGTGTGCCCATCTATATTACAATGCGCACACTTTCTCAGACCATGATTATGTCCTCTACCACGAGCTTCCCCTGAATCTCGACCGCCAACACGCCCACCACCATGATTATACATGTGTCCACCTCTACCACCACAGCCTGGCTGGCCTTGATGAGCTAGTCCTCTACCACCACGGCCATCCCCTTTAGCCACCACAAGGGCAGTTCTATCGGATATGGTGGGGTTCTATGGAGAGTCAACAGAAATCCTCCAGAGACGGGCAAACACCTCCTCGAAAGATGGAAGAGCAGATCCCCCTAGTATCTGGGCTCGTACTGGTTCATATTCAAACTTTAGTCCCACCAAAAATCTAGTCACATCAAGCTACTCTCTCTGTTGTTGCTGAATTTTAACATCAGATGTAAGGAGGTGATACACACTCAACTCATTCCTCAAATTTCTCAGACTAGCATAATACTCTTCAAGACTCTGGTTACCTTGCTTCAGACTAAAATACTCTTGATAGAGCTGATATACTCTGGTGGTGTTATCCTGTCCTGAATAAAGCTTCCTTGCATGATCCCAAATTTCCTTGGCTGTGTCTAAGAACATAAAGTTTACACTAATCTTAGGTTCTATACTGTTCCACAGCCAAGTCATAATCTGTGCATCTTCTTACTCCCGATCACCATACTCCTGGGAATGAACTGGGAGTTTTTCTTCTCTTATATGCTTTGCTTTCTTCTTGGCTCTGAGAAACACTTCAACAGATTTGGCCCAAGGTACATAATTTTCTCCATTTAATTTAATTGGTCATTTGTACATTCAAGTAGTCTTGAGGGATCATAACCGACTTATGTTCATTATCTCCCATGGCTGTAAATATTTTTTTTCTTGTTTCAACCTGCCTTACCCAGTAATCACTACACTGCACTTCAACAGCACTGTACTTCACTCCTCAAGTTAATCACTCACCACCATACGACTGACCATTGCTGAAACGTACACTGTCACAGGTTTCAGTAATGTTAACCTCTACTATTGTCACTTTCGGCACCTCACAAACACATCACATACAAGAGTACCATACATCTGAACCTACGACACATCTAAACCTGCCACCATAAGACTGATACTAAGCTGCACCTACCACACATCTGCACCATATGACTGATACTAATCTGAACCACACATCTGCACCTACCACGAAACCTACTGTTGCAGCCCTCTTCATTCCATCGAGTAGAGGGTTCTCTACCAATCACCTGAAACCACAACTTCACACCCAACCAAACACATTAAAAACTCCAGAATGAAGATACGGCAACTCCTTTTCAGCCCTTTTACAAAACTCAAAAAAAAGAGAAGAAAAATGAGAGATTACGAACAGAACAGATCTGGACTGGCTTAACCTGGCTCTGATACCATGTGACGATTTCAGTTTCAGATCTTAACTTGATGTAGAAGAGAAGTAAAAGAGAGAGAGGGGGGTAGAGAAGAAGAGAAGAAATCAAAGAAGAAGAAAACCTGTTCGAACCCAAGAGAAGACAATAGTTCAAATTCTCTCTTTGTCGGCCAGGATATATAGATTACTAAAATGAATAGAAAAAGTCTTTTATGCCCCTTTTTAAGTAGGGACACATCAGCACTCACTAAAAGACACAACACCACATTAATAAAACTCAAATGACTATTCTACCCTTCTTTAGTCAACACTAACAGAATTGTTGTATTCAGACTTCCTACTCACCTGAACAGCATCTTCCATGAAAATCTGAATCCACACCAATGCTTCTTCCCCTACCAGCAACACCATGGCCATATTAATTTCTCTGATTTTTAAAGCTTTCTTCCCTTTCACCTTGTAACTTTCAAATAGGAACTGCTTTGCTTCCACCCTTAGAGATCTTCTTCAAACCTCAGTCTGCTGAAACATCCTTTCCTCCATTTTCAACCCCCCTGTTCCTCAAGCCCACCACGCTAGAGCTTCTCCTCCTACCCATGAAAAAGGTTGTGCATCTGCATTCTTTGTAACTTCTGCTCAATCGGTTTCCTTTCCTTCAAAAACTCTTCTGTTTCTTTCTCCAATAAATCCACATGAGTTGTCTCTTCCTGATTAAACCCTTCATATGTCAACCAGCTATCAGGTGTTCAACTGTTTGTAGGAGACATTAAAACAGGAGGAATAATTCTACAGCAAGTATAAGGAACAACTAAATCATCCCTTCTATGCCCTTTCTAGCACCATCTACATTCAAAAGATAGAAGTTCTTTCTGTTTTTAATTCAAGTACAATATATATTCTCCATATAATTAACAAGCAATTAACAAATTGGGTAGGTTGCATGATATTAACAGTTTCTTGAGAAGAGGCTACCTAGTAAGACGCTCCTTCAATTCTTCATGCCTTTTGAGGACATTTGACACTGAGAAAATAAAGCAGTTTTAAGCCTCTGAAAAGTCTCAATGAAATGAACAAATTTAACATAAACAACAAACACGGTGCACTTCCAATAGGACATACATCTAGTTCGTGTTGTCTCCAACCGGATGTCTTCTTCTTGAATAAACTTCTGTAGTACAATAGGACACATGATTACAATCAAAACAGAGAAAGAAATAAACACACTACTTTTGCAATACTAGAAGTAATAGAGAAAGAAAAAGTGCTTTACCGATCTATGACCAGGGAACTACTTTGAAGAATGTAAATAATGTTTTGAGGATCTATGGTTAAGAAAGAAAGGTTGCACCTCCCTGGCCCCGGAGTCACATAGACAGTTAGGAAATTATCTATGCATTGAAATATTGAATGTCACTCAGTTCATGATACTGAAACCATAACTGCAGCCAACAGGAATGAGTTCTAACTTCGTTGGGATTGGGCCCTTTCAAAATGAAGAAAATAATGTGGAAGTGTTCCGTTCTTTCAAAATGAAGAAAATAATGTGGAAGTGTTCCGTTCTTTCAAAATGAAGAAAATAATTGATTGAAATTACAGTCATAGTGGCACATTGGGCACCAATTCATACCTATTCAAGAAATGTGGCACACTGAGAAATTGGAACCAACTAGCATACTCTTGTCATTCCTATCAGTGGTAGAAAGGAAGGCAGGCCTCCTGGAAAATGTGGTGAAACAAAAATTTGATTGACTGGAATCCCAGCCCATGAGAGGCCATGGCACTATTAGAAATGTTGTTAATCTAAAGAGAATGGGGTGCAAGAATGGTTTAGTCTTTTTATATTCTTTTTTTATGAATAACTGAAAAACCATTCATTAATTAAAATAAAGTAGAGAAGTACAAAGAGAAGGGAGAGATGAACTCTCTTAACTCTCCTCAAACAATCTCAGAATGTTACAATATAGCCTAAAATAATTGGCTTCTTCCCACCCCTTGTTTGGCTAGTACATCGGCAAAATAGTTGGCATCTCTTTTCACCCAAATCAGATTCACTTCCATTCCCTCTGTTAACCATTTAAACCTTCTATTTTCATTAATGTAGTCCCACCAACCCAGATCCTCTTCCTTTTGCAGCTGACAACCAACTTTGAATCCCCTTCAATTATCAGTTTTCAAATATTCATCCCCTTAGCTTTTTGAGCCCCTTGCAAAGCAGCTAGAGTTTCAGCCCTCAAAGAGTCTCCCCCACCAATCGGTCCTGAAAAAAGGCCAACTATTCTACCTTCCCCATTTCTGAAAACTCCTCTAATTCCTAAAGGGCCCAGATTTCCTTCACTGCTGCCATTGAAATTCAGCTTAATAAAACCACTGGTTTAAGGAGACCAGCTTGGCGTTGATACAACCTTATTAAGGGCAGAATCATCCACTACCTTCCAACTTCTCAACAAATCTGCAACAAAAAAAATCCTCAAATAATTTTAAGGTTTCACCCAATTGATCACTCTAACCGTGATGACTTCAATTAGAGCATCCCTAGTCCTCTTTTTCCACAAAGAATCTCTAATTTCTCTCTTCCCATATTGTCCAACACACTACACCCCTAATACACCTCCATAAAGTTCATCCCCTCTTCTTCAGCTAGCTAACAAAGGAGGGATCAAACAGGCTTTGTATATTTGACAGGGGTTGCACCTACACACAAACAAGGAAAGAAACCAATCCCAAATTGAAGATACGAAGGGGTAGGAGATTAATGAGTGATGGCAGGTCATAAGTAATCTTTTCCAGAAACACTTCACAGCAGAAACCTCCAACCCTAGGCAGATTTTTTTTTATTTCTTTTGAAGGACTACACAACAGGAGGTAGGAGATTAATGAGTGATGGCAGTTCAGAAGTAATCTTTTCCAGAAACAAGGATTATACCTGATATGAGGCAGAAAAGAAGGTGCAGGTGGGATGACATGATCCCCAAATTTTACAAAGTTACCATAACAAGGATTATACCAGATATGAGGCAGTAAAGAAGGCAGAATGTCATGAATAGCCTTCCAAGTTGAAGCTCTTGTCACCCTAACTGTAATGAGTAATGACTTCAATTAGGGCGTCTATACTTCTTTCTTTGCCTTCAAGCAGCCTTTGATTTCTCTCTTCCCAAACAGTCCAGCAAACTGGAGCCCTTGAGCATCTCCATAAGGTTTTTCCCCTCTTCTTTTGCCAAATAACAAAGGTAGGGTCAAACAGCCTTTGAACATTGGCGGGGGATCCACCTCCATCCAAGCAAGGAAGATTTCTTTTTATCAATAACAGCATTTCATTAGAAATATTAAGAATGACAAGATAGGGAGAGGTAAACTATCTTAACTCTCCACAAACAACAACACTGTTACAGCTGTGACCAAAACAACTGATTCCTCCCCACCCCTTGTTTTGCTAAAACATCAGCAAAACTATTTGCTGCTCTTTTAACCCAACTGAACTGCACTTCCATATCTTGAATTATCCACTTGAATCTTTTTTTTTTATCAGTAAGCATGTATTTTATTTAAATTTCGGATTGTAAACAGTTTATACAACTTGGTGACAGGACTGATGATCCCTTTAATCCCTCTTTTCTATCCCTCATTTCAGTGCAGCCCAAAATAATTGTTTTCTCAATGCCCCTTGTCTTTCAAAACAATCAGCTAGCCCATTTGCACTCCTTCGGACCCATTAAATTCAGCCTCAACCTCCTTTGCAATTGTCTCCACTTCCCTAATCACATGTTTAAACGTCCACTGAGTATTGCTGTTGTTTGCTGCCCAGGATAATGACTACTTTTGAGTCCCCTTCCACCTCAGCATGCATGTATCCAGTAGTCGATCAAGATTACAGTCAGTCTTGAATCCAAAAAGGTTTCGGATGGAGAAAAGAAGAAGAAGAAAAGAAGGAGAAAAGGAGGAGAAGCAGAAGTACACAAGKGTTTAGAAAGGARAGGGAYAGWTWGATTGAATCTGCCGCCCCACTCTTAATATTTATATGTTATGTTCACTAATTGTAGAAAAAGGCAGAATTGCCCTTAATGCTTACATGGCAAATAAAACAATA